CTAACAATATTACATTCAAAATACTCCAACAGCTATTACATTACAACATTTACTATACTCCTAACAATATTACATTCAAAATACTCCAACAGCTATTACATTACAACATGTACTATACTCCTAACAATATTACATTCAAAATACTCCAACAGCTATTACATTATAACATCTACTATACTCCTAACAATATTACATGTACTAGATTTCCAACAACCTTTCTTTATTTAATCAAAAAATGTACATACACTATAATGAAGTTTTGCCAATAGTTATATTTGTGTTAACAAATCTGATCTATTCGAAGGATGGACTGAGAGATTGAAGGATGGATAGATGCATTAATAAATAGATATTAATAGTTCATCAGTATTATTAATTCACTTTGTGCAATTCCTGAATTTGCATTAAAAATATAGTCTTATAACGCTAAAAATCAGGTTTAAATGAAAATAATCGAGCCACATAGAAGAAACCAAAGAAGAGTTAAACTAGCTTTGAAAAAGGACATATTAAGTGATTGAAGAAAGAACTGTAAATAAAAATATCGAAAATTTACAAGTAGTCTTCTTGTGGATTTGCATATAATGATGACACTTGATATGTAATGACACATATTTGAATCATTGGAAACATATGTGTTTGTATGTCATGATAACTTTTCATTCTACATGGTCTTAGAGTAATATCAGTTTGAGTACCTGATTCTCTATATCATGGTACCATACGTGCAAACGTGTTTTAAACTTCAGTGTTCAGCACTATATGTTTTTTTCTTTCAAAATACCAATTCTGAATTTTGTGTTAGCGATGATTCCAAAAGTACTCTTGCCAATATAATTTGTATCTACAAATCTCTATGAATGAGTTGCCTAATAGCTGTATTTCGATGATATTTTCTGACATTACATATTCTTATATCCATGATTGTAGAGGAAATACCATCTCTGTCGACTTGTTACTTCTTTTCCATAACATTTATGTTAGTCCAGCACTGCTAAGGTTCACGTTAATAAAGAACCTACTTTCTACATATTGTTTCTTAGCTGTACAAGTTGTTGATCGTTTTCAGGATAGCACTGCCAAACTTCACGTCAGCAGTGAGCCCACCATTTCTGTCGATTTGTTACTCCGAACCCACAGCCCCTCAACGAAGCGACGGAGAACAGCAAAGAAATCCATTTCTTCTCTTGGTAGCCAGCCTCAAGAAAAAGATGAAGTGGTGAAAACTCAAACGTTTCATCCTTCCTCGATGTCTCTAAACGAGGAGAATAAGTTTCCTCATAATGAATCGCTCATGAACCCAATGTCTATGAGCGCATCGTTTAGGTATCTATCTTTGAAGTTTGATAAAATGAACTATATCTGTTATAATGCCAGTAATAATACAAGTACAACTGTATAAACAATATTTTGCTTATCATACACGAAAGTTAATAAAACGCCAGTTTCTTTCGTTACCCTTCAGAAAGTTTCTATGTATAAAATATTGCTAATCCAAGTGTAACTGCTTATGAAATAATTAGACTTTGTGAAGTTATATAAATATTAGAAGTAGACGTTTATGAAAGGTATATTTTAAAATCTTATTTTTCTCACAATCTAAAAGGTTTTTAATCAGTTATTAAGACTGCCAACGACTCAGCGGTAAGCTTCAGGTCTTAAAACGATAAAGTTCGGGGTTAGATCCCTGTGATGGACACATTACAGACATCCCTTTGTGTAGTTGTTTCTTTTAATGCTTCGCTAGTGTTGGGGTTGACGCAAGCTTATGTAAAATTATCATTTTAGTTGTATTATGCTAAATACTATAATGATAATTATTCTGTATTATATTTAATATCCAGGGAGAACTGGCGTCGGAGGTTTACAGTGAGTTCAGATAAAACACTAAACTTTTGCTACTCTGCTATTACACCTACAACGGAGATGGATTTTTTGGATTTCATGGAACTTTTTCGTTCGTTCATTGTAAGATACCGCAAAGACCTGAAAGATTTGTTTGAACAGATAGCTGTTGGCGTGAGATGTACTGAAGAACCATCTGTTCCTAATTCAGCTGAGCTATTCAGAGCAACAAGGTCCATATCCAGTAAAGTCTTAGGTAAGCAAAACGAAAACAAAAAATCATCTGAAATGAAAAGTATAATTCTATGGTTTCTAGCATATTGACTTTAAATAAATGTAAAATTTATTCACTGAGAACTTCGATAAAAAAATGCTTAGGCCTAACTTAATGCTCAAATCTAGAATTACTGTTCTCGTCGAAGCTGTAATTCTTGTAGTATGTTTAAGTTATTTTAGTGCAAAATTGGAACGTATTGAGTATTTTTGGTTTTAAAAAGCGATTGCTACAGCACAGTTAACAGGACATGCCTTAGTAATTCACCTGACATTTCATATGAAAGTTTAAAACTTTTCCCCCTGGTACTTTCACTATTCAAGAAGTCATCAAACAATTGACTTGAAAGTTAACGGATCGATGTCGGACGTATGCTAATAATTAGCATGATCGGAATGTTAATATAAGGGTTTAAATTCGCGCTCTGTTGGCGCAAAAAAGATTAGGTTCGTGAGTGATTGTCAAATCCTAATATTCAATAGCAACCCTAGAATTTACAGTGGGTGCTTTTGACTATCAGCTCAAAATTAGGATCGGCTATGCACAGATACCGCTTTATGCAGCTTTGGGCGAAAAGTAGGGAAACAAATAAAGAATTAAACAGGCGGAAAAGAAGGACTGAATTACTGGTACAAGAACTGATAATCGATATAGTTAAAACTCGGTAGATGGTTTTATAAGGAAATTAAATTTTTCTTCACGCTTCATCTCTCCATTTACAGGGAAAAGGGTGAAACTTAGATAGTTATTGAGTAGCAGGTGTTATATTTTACATGTCAGACATACTTAACTTTCAGGTCGACTTATTGTACGGCAAAGCTAATAGTGTATAGGTATTATTCAAAGAGGCTTTTCTGATTCATTCATTCATGTTTTACCTAAATCAACAAGTAATTTTACACACCCCATCGACATTTAGTTGTGTTTGTAAGTTTTAGTTCTTCAAAAACTCCTTAAGATGCTATTATACTTGTGTTGAATAAAATTTGATGAAGTATTTTTAATAAGTAAGATATATAAACAACATTTTACTTTAAACAAAATTCTAATCAATATCAATTTACAATTTACTTTTTAATTACGTGTACTTATTTTTGTTCTTCTTAATTTACGTTTGTTTTTCTACTGTTTTGTTTTGATAGGTTTGCTAACTAGAAATACTCCGTTTGATTTGCACGTAAACAGCCAGAGAAAGAAAAGCTGTGATGCTATCGCAGCTGCCAGTATTGTTTCCAACTGTGCTGGTTTGGAGTCTTCGCAAGTAATGGTGATAGGGTTGAGAGAGTTTCAGAGTTTTTTGGCACATCACCAAGGAGAAGAGCTTTCAGACCTTGACGTTGCTGCCCTAATACAGGTATTTATAAATTAATAGTTTAAATTAGTCTTGTTTAGCTTGGAAGTCAGCCAGTTAGAACAGTTAAGTGGTGGAAATATTTGAACTTTACTTGTACAATAACTCTAAGAAGGCTTACCAGTAACTCGCAAAAACTTTAAAATGGTCCACAATAAAACTAAACAAAATTCAACAATACTTCACAACAGCTGATTCTTTTTTTGTAAAAAATATAAATAGTTTTGTGGAAAGACTCAATATTAACTCTCTCTACAAAAGAATATTTTACAATATCTCTAAAAAGACGTACACCATAGCATAATTCTTAAGTTACTTAGAATAGTAATAACTAATAGTAGCTCTGAAAAGTGTAATCGTTTACTAAAGGCAGTTTCTCAACCCATAACCATAAACAGATAAACAATAGCCCAAAGTTATTTTAAACGGATTCCTAGGCGTTAATATCTCGGAATATTCTAAAATGAACTCAAATGAACCTGTATAGACTAACGTTAGCCCATGGAAACTCTGCAGGCATTCAGTATTAATTTCAAACTAACTAGCAATAACTTCTGAAAAGACTCAGCAAAAAACCGTAGTGTCTCAATAACAATATTCACCATCTCTATACTCCCGAACGCTAAATCGTAGTTCTCAATAACAATATTCACCATTTCTATACTCCCGAACGCTAAATCGTAGTTCTCAATAACAGTATTCATTATCTCTATACTCCCGAACGCTAAATCGTAGTTCTCAATAACAGCATTCACCATCTCTATACTCCCGAACGCTAAATCGTAGTTCTCAATAACAGCATTCACCATCTCTATACTCCCGAACGCTAAATCGTAGTTCTCAATAACAATATTCACCATTTCTATACTCCCGAACGCTAAATCGTAGTTTCTTAATAACAGTATTTACCATCTCTATACTCCCGAACGCTACTCAGAGTATTTATAAAAGCGAGAACAATAATTCACAGTAACTAAAAAATACTCAATATCAATTCACAGTATACTTTACAAAACTGAACAATAATGAAAAATAATTGTAAGTCCATTCAGCAATAACTCATAGTAGTAGCTTTACAACGGTATGTTACCTTATAATAATATCAAAAATAAGTCTATGTTTGTCATCCATTAAAATTTTGTTTAAAATGAAATATATTGAAATTGTAGTTACTGGCATTGTTTGTATATATCTTACTGATTTATTAAATATTCTTTAACACAAGTATGACAAATTGATAATCAGTTTGTGAGGTGCCAAAAGTGAAAAACAAAATTATATGACGACAGGGAAAATTTATAAAATTACTTTTTTATTTAGATTATAATATGAAAATAACACAAAGTATTTATGGGAAACTCAACAGTCAAAATGTGACTCTTAAAGATCCTTCAATATATGTTAAAGAAATCCGAATTTTCAAGCTCTTTCGAAAGGTTTTGAATATGATTTATATATATATATATATATATATAATTTGGTTGGGTGCACAACAGGTTTTGATATAAATATATTATATATAGCCTGTGTGTTGGATTTCTGTGTAAGGCGTAGCTTAAGTGGACACTGACATCAAAAAATTTCAGCTGCCTGGCAGGTATACTCAAATACTTCTGTGAAAAGTTTTCATCTGAAAAAAAAAATTACATTTCACCTCCAGCCATAACTATAATTAAAACAAGTGTGTAATTTCATTGGTTCTCTGTGAATGCTGGATTTCAACATCACCCATAAAAATGATGGGGAAATTAACTGGGAATAATTCAGACACGGAGTTTTGTTTAAAATGATCTTTTGCAGATAACGCCCCCACCACACACACCACGGTGACTCAGTGATAACCCTTGGAAGGGCTTATAACACTAGAATTCAGTGTTCGATCTTTGCGATGGACACAGGTAGCTTTTGTTTAACTTCGTGCTAAAACCACAACAAACAAATTCAGATAAGTATAATTGAAAATCGCATATATATATCCAGCATAATTTTATCTGATCTTTAACATTTAGAATATCTGCATGACGATACAGTAACATTCAGTTTCAACGCGTTTACTGTCATAAGTATTTTGATACGTATTAATTTTTTCACTTTAGCGCCACGAACCTGACGCCACCTTACGTCAAAATATGTGGCTATCTTTTGACGGTTTCGCCAGGTATCTTATGGATAAATCTAACTATGCCTTTATTTCTGAAAATACTAGCTCTCACCCTGAGGTAAGCATAAATTTCTAATCATAATGAAATAACTTATATCATCCCTTCGAAACAAGAAAATATCTAATACTTTTTTGTTTGCAAGTAATAAACGTCACAAATGAAAATGTTTAAATATTCGGTAATGTTTATTTGTTATCGTGTTTACTTAACACTTAACACTTAATTATTTTATATCAAGACGTTTTCATCGTTAAAATGGGGTATGTTATTTGTTTTTCACATTTTTAGAGTATGTCAAAATAATACAAAAATATCCAAAAAAAAAAGAATATAAATTTTTAGTAAAAAACACATGGAAGTAATTTCCAGGCATCTCGTTAAGTTTTGATTATGACGATTGAATTCGAAAAGGCAACAGTTGATTGGATATAAAGACAAGTTTGTTTTTGTTTGTTTGTTTGTTTTGAATTTCGAGCAAAGCTACACGAGGGCTATCTGCGCTAGCCGTCCCTAATTTACCAGTGTAAGACTAGAGGGAAGGCAACTAGTCAGCACTACCCACTGCCAACTCTTGGGCTACTCTTTTACCAACGAATAGTGGGATTGACCGTCACA